CAAGAAAGGCGCGCGAGCACCCTGGGAGCGGCGTCGAGAAGCCCGCATCACCGATGGCGGGAGGAACAGCCGGGGGTACCTGCTGAAACGGAAACACATGCTCATCAAAGTAAACGTGCCAGGAAGTGAACACACGGTGGGAGACGGGATCGTAGCACCGATATCCCTTGGAGTTGGAGGGGTAGCCGATGAAGATGCAAGCGACAGAACAAGGTGCGAGTTTGTGAGGAGCGGCCGACAGTGCTAGGATAGCAAGGGCACCCGAAAATATGCAAGACATCATAAGATGGGGGCGTACCGAAGAGAAGATGGTGAGGTGCATAGTTCCACCATGGGCGGCAAGGGCGAATGTTAAGGAGAAGTGAAGCAGTAGCGAGTGTGTCCGGCCAGAAACTAGGCGGCACATTAGCATGGAACAGGAGCGTGCGAACATAGTCGTTCAGAGTGTGAAGGACGCGTTCGGCTCGACCGTTCTGCTGTGAAGTATATGGGCATGTGAGACGAAAAATTGTGCCGTGGTGCGACAGAAAAGTGTGGAAAGCAAGGTTGTCGAACTCTTTTCCATTGTCAGTCTGAAGAGCAAGGATGGGACGCCCAAACTGCGTGCTGACATAGGAATAAAAAGCCATCAAAGTGGAGAGTGCATCCGACTTTCGTCGTAAAGGAAACGTCCACACATAGTGAGAGTAATCATCAAGGATAACCAGATAATATAAATAGCCCGAATTACTAGGAACCGGAGAGGTCCACACATCACTATGAATCAACTGAAAAGGAAAAGAAGCTATGGTGGTTGTGTGGCCGGGTACAACGGTAGCGCCGGGAACGGCGCCGGGTGGCGCTGCGGCGGGGGCGCGACCGGGGCGGCTGGAGGCGCCGAGGAGGCGTCGCGGGTGGTGCCGGTGGCGAGGGCGGTGTGGATGGCCCGCGCCTTCACCTGCTTCATCCGCCGCTCCTCCAAGCGGAGGTACGCAACGAACTTGGCGAAGGACGGGTTGGGGATGAGGCTGAGGTTCGCCGCGGTGTTGCCGAAGTCCTCGTTGAGCCCGGCGGTGAGCGTGCTGAGGAGGAAGTCATCATAGATCTTCACGCCAATATCGCGGAGCTCGTCAGCGAGAGTCTTCAGGCAGCGACAGTAGTCGTCAATGAGGTGTTGTCCTGGTGACACCCAAAAAACTCTTGCTGCAAAAAAACGCGACGCTGGAGGTGGTTGTCGGTGAAGAGCCCGTTCAGCTTGGTCCACACGGCGCAGGCATCGTCACCGTCCGCCACGACCGTCGGGAAGAGGTCCTGCGAGATGGTGAGGAAGAACCAGTGGATGATCGTGGTGTCGATGGTGGACCAGTCATGGAACTCGGGGACGAGGCTGGAGTCGACGGTGCCGTCCACGTGGTTGATGAGGTGATACTCCCGTAATACGAGGGAAAAATACGTCTTCCACGTGTAGTAGGAGGAATCCGCCTGCGAGAGACAAACCGGCACCCGCTCGAAGATGTTGAGGTTGCGGATGTCATTAACGTCGGGGGGGTTGGCGTCGGCGAACGGATTGGAGTTGGTGGACGCGGAGGAGGTGACAGACGACATAGCGAGGACGGGACGGAGCGGGCGGCGCGGACGGCTCGGGTGAGAATTGCGGCGGCTTCGTCGATGTGGCTGGCGGGCGGGCAGGCGGTAGCAGTGGCGCGACAGCAGCGGATGATGCGAGCGGGCTCGGAGTCAGCGATCACGCGCGGCGGGGCGCTGCGGCGTTGTGTACTAGCGATCTGGTGGCTGGCGGCGTTGGCGGCTAGCGATCATGGGAGCGATCGGGGGTAGCGATCGGGGCTGGGTGTTGGCGGCTAGCGGTCGCGATCGGTAGCGAGCAGCGGCAGCAGCGGCTCGGATCGGGCTGCACGGGTCGGGCGAGAGGCAGCAGCAGCTCGGGGCGGGAGCAGCTTCAGCGGGAAAAGGCGCAGCAGCGGCTCGGAACGGGGTGGTTGCAGTTGGTGGCTGGCGCGATTGGATCGCGGGCGACAGCACGTGGAGAGGTGAAGCAGCGGCGGGTCGCGGCAGGAGTGCGCGGGCGGCGGCGGAGGCTTGGGTAGACGCGCGGCGGCGGCGGCGGAGCGGAAGTGAGGAACGAAACCTAAAAAACTGATACCATGTATGTTGTGGGAATTGCACGATGTATTGCTCTTCGTGTATAAGCACGTATATATCATGTATAAAAATGGGCCATGGACCTCAACTATACAAAAAATTAGAAGGCGGGTCCAATATACAATATGCACATAACACATATACTCAACAATACAAACCATTTTTTGTTATCTCATCGATTACGGTTAAGGTGTTGTAATCTCTTGTAACTCGATGGTGTTATGTCGTGTGATTCCTCTTTAAGCAATCGCCCTCTCGTACTTCTACAGCCAGGATCCTCCACGATGCCAAGAAATTTTTACAATGCATTAAGAAAAAACCCAACCACTTCATCATACGATGCACACAACCATTTTATTAATAATAAAATACATCCAAGTCATTGAGTACCAAAAAGTTTATATCAAAACAGTACATCTCAGTTGGAAACAAAATTACATAGTTCATCCACATGGTGGCATTTGGTTTGGTAGGTATCCCACGGCTGGTTAGGGATAGCCACTTGAAAAGCGGCTGCCAGTCGTTTGGTTGAAACACAAGCGTGGATATGGGCAGTCAAGATTCCTAGAATATGCTTCCAAAACCTGGCTGAACACATCCGCGAAAATCTGGCGGATATACTCAGCCACCCGACGCGCGCGTAGCCGAATCATTCTCTGCCTATGTCTTTCACTCGCTCCCGGTCTATTTTCCCCATATCATCTCAATCCTTGACCTCGTACTGCGGGGCAGGTCATGTGCGATGGCGGCGGCGCATCAAGGGCGAAAGTGGTGGCGACGCTCTCCCTTCCCCTTCCTCTGATCTCCTATGTCTATGCTGAAGCTCGACGGCTCTGCCCACGTGAGCAAGGGCGGCATGGAGATGGTGAAGTGCGGTCGCTGGGAACGACGAGCAGCAGTGCTAATTCGCGTGAGAGATGATGGCCGTCGGCCGTGCTAATTCGGCTGCATGTTCTGGAGTTTGATGCGGCAGTGCTAATCCAGGATTTTCTGTAAGGATGCATGTTCTGGAGATTGATGTGTTGATGTGTTGGATCTTCACGCTTTGCAACCTCGCACGTGCTAAACTGATATGTGTGTAGATTCACACATGTGAGTGACTTTGATATTTCTGTCTCAAATCCGTGCATATATGTGTGGTATAATTGATGTATGTGTGGTATAATTGATGTACACATGTGTGTATGTAGTTTATTTTCTTGATGTATATTTGCCCAATTATAGACAATCCATCCACATCTTATCCATGCAACCAAACAAATAATCCTGGCTATCCTTCCACCTCCCATCCTTACAACCAAACAGAAAAATCGGTTATCCCCAAACACGTGGTTACGGATATCCTTAACCAATCTCTCGCCGCCCTCAAACCAAACGCCACCATAATCTCTCAGTGGCGCGCCAGCCAAAAGCAAAACATGAGTGAACAAACTCGAGCAGTGCTAGACTCACGGAGGGATTGTTCACGGTGTCAGCGGACTTGGCAACGTGGACGTTTGCTATTGGAATTAGGAGG